ATCGAGAATGGGTTGATGCAAGAAGAGCTCTCTCTCCTTCCCTTAAATGACTGAAAGCAAACCATAAATTTCTCTTTGGGGAAGGTACCTCTACCCCCTGCGCTCCTCTGCCCCCAGCTCTGTACCAGGGAGAGAAAAAGGACTCTTATTGTGGAAGGTGGGGGAGTCAACACAAAGACTAATTTGCATAAACTGACACTACTAAAAGAGCCCATATCTTCCATTAGCGCCCCCCCCAATTTCCTAGTCCCCTCCCTCACTAGGTCTTCTTCCTTAAGGTCCAAACCCTCTTTCCTACCGCTCGAGTTTCACTTCTTTCCAATGAACTACCGAGCACGAAACTATTAATTAAAATTCTGTGCCTTTTCTCCCATGTATCTGTCTTTTGTTATTTAATTTGCAGGTCCCTGGTGCTTAACCTGATGTGGGAAAGAAAGGCAAAAGAAATGTTAAATTTCCCCACTACCTATAGCCTGACAAGTCCTTGAAACAGGCAGAGTGACATTCCTCTAGAAATTCAGCTACCTTGATGTTAACACTTCGCTAAGGGCAAAGGACAATCTTAGCCTGACCCCCAGGTTCCTTAAAGTCTACTTTAACATGTAAAAATTCCTTTGGAAACTTCCTTTATCTCTACCCTCAAGATACACGTTGGCACATATCCCCCAAGCGCATGGCCCACCGATGTACATCTGAAGGGTCTCATGACTAAGGTTTTATTAGATGGTAATAAAAGATCTTTTCCCAACAATAGGTAGCCCTCATCGAGGTCCTGGAAACCTTGCTTCCAAAATTCCTTAGAGACTTACACTATCCCCAACTCCCTCCCAGCTTGAAAGTATATAATGGGTCACTCCTGTCCCCAGTGCAGCTCCTTCTGCCCAAGGGTCCTGTCCCTGTGCTTTAATAAAATCACCTTTTGGCACTAAACACACCTCAAGAATTCTTTCTTGGCCATCGGCTTTGAACCCTAATGTCTTTCCTACATCAAACCTAAGAGGGAAGAGGCGAAGTCTTTCCTCCTCATTGTGGGAAGACAGTGCAAGAAAACACAAACACCACAGATCCGGTAACTCCGTTCCTTAATGACACTTAAGAAATGGAAAATGACTTTGTATCATCCTATGGCCTCCTTGATTTGAAAGTGATCGATCCACTTTGAAAATAAAATGCAGCATAAAAGAAGCTGGAAGTTCCCCCAAGGCAGTTAAGGATTTTCTCCTCTATCCTGACATTCCAAAGCAGGGTCTTTTCGTATCTACATTAATTGATCTTGCTTTATGCATGGGGGCTAAGTTTTATTGAAAAAGGAGTTGGGAGGGGGGCACCGGGGTGGCTCAGTCGGTTAAGCATCAGCCTTCAGCTCTGGTCATGATCTCGGGATTCTAGGATGGAGCCCCATATGGGGCTCTCTGCTCCACGGGGAGTTGCCTTCTCCCTCTCACTCTCTCTGGGCTCTCTCTCAAAAAATTAATAAAAACTCTTTAAAAATATATAAGAAATATATGTGCGGTCTTTGTTTTGTTTCGGGAGGCAAACTGATGCTCGCAGATTGTCTTTGCCAGCAACTTATTTAACACAAGGCCACTGCGAGAAATCCTAGTAAGTTCGCAAGCCAACAGCATATAGGTTAATGTCTCCAGGAAGCCAATAAAGAAATAACACAGGGGCGCCTGGGTGGCTCGGTGGGTTAAGCCTCTGCCTTCGGCTCAGGTCATGATCCCAGGGTCCCGGGCTCGAGCCCCGCATCGGGCTCTCTGCTCAGTGGAGAGCCTGCTTCCCCCTCTCTCTCTGCCTGCCTCTCTGCATACTTGTGATCTCTCTCTGTCAAATAAATAAATAAAATCTTAAAAAAAAAAAAGAAATAACACAATCTAAACCAATGGCAGATCAATCACACCAGTTCCAGGCAAGGGGAGATGAAAGGGAATAAAGTCGTTCAATTGAGGTGTATTTTTATAGCCGTTGTACTCCGGTGAGCTGACGCCGATCTGCCAGGACAAAAGCCAAAGTCCCCTGACGCCAGAGCGCTCTCTTGCTAGCACCGGCGCGGACAGCCTTTGGGAGGCGCTGTTCCGTTTCCACCTGTTGGGAACCGAGTTGCCTTGACCTTGGCAGAAGCTAATCGTCCAAAGGTCCTCAGAGTCCTAGCTAGCTACTTAGAGCAAACAGTCTCCTTGCCCAGATGCAACAGTTTCCACTGATCTAAACGTCCCCGGTCACCAGTTGCTTTTACATTTTTATTGATAAAGCCCCTGGCGGGTTTCCTCTGAAGCTAAGCTACAGAGAGCTTCCCAGTGACGACGGATGACATGACCACATCCTGTCCTTCACTCTTCGAGCAAAATGACTTTACTTTTTCTTTTTTTTTTAAAGATTTTATTTATTTGATACAGAGAGAGAGGGCACAAGCAGGGGAGTGGCAGGCAGAGGGAGAGGGAGAAACAGGCTCCCCACCCACTAAGCAGGGAGCCCTACGCAGGGCTGGATCCCAGGATCTGGGATCAGGACCTGAACCTAAGGCAGTCACTGAACCAACTGAGCCACTCAGGCCCCCCAAGACGATTTTACTCTTAAGAACAATTTCGGGGCGCCTGGGTGGCTCAGTGGGTTAAAGCCTCTGTCTTTGGCTCAGCTCATGATCCCAGGATCCTGGGATCAAGCCCCACATCGGGCTCTCTGCTCAGCAGGGAGCTTGCTTCCTCCTCTCTCTCTCTCTGTCTGCCTCTCTGCCTACTTGTGATCTCTGTCAAATAAATAAATAAAAAATCTTAAAAAAAAAAAAGAACAATTTCATTTTGGGGGACCCCTGGCTGGCTCAGTTGGTACAGCACGTTGATTCTTGGTCTCAGGGTCATGAGTTCAAGCCCCACGTTGGGCCTGGAGCTTACCAAAAATGGGGGGGGGACAATTTCATTTTTGTCATAAACAAGTGGGATTTGAAATCATATCGAACTGATCTACAGCAGCCTTCTATCCTGTGGGGCACAGAGCTTCTAAAAATCCTTGGAATTTCCCATAAGGCTGATAAATGTGTTTTTGTTATGCTAATGAGGCGACTGCCAGAAAGCCCAGAAGGATGTGGATGGTTGCCAGGGGAACCAACCCCGTGTTCAGAGGGTTGGAACTTTTACCCAAGGAGAATCCGTTTCCTTTCCTCGCTTTCCCTACGCCTAGAGGCTGCTTGGATTCCCTGGTTATGGCTCCTTCCTCCATCTTGAAAGTGAATCTACCCACCATTGCTTCCACCGTGACGTCTGTGACCAACATTCCTGCTTCCCTCTCGAATCTACACAGACCCTGGTGATCCCACGGATCCGCTCAGAAAATCCAGGATAACCTTCCATCTCAAAGTCTTCATTTTAATCATCTTGGCCACCCATCCCTTTCGCCATGTGTGGGGACAGATCCACAGGTTTTGGGGATCAGGGCATGGGCATCTCTGGAGGGCCATTATTCTGGCTACCGTAACATGGTAATGAGCTCCAAAGACATTTCTATTAAATGCTTTAATTAAATGTACATAAAGATTGAGAAATGCAGGATCGACAAAAACAAGCCAGGAACGTGAGTGGGAGAAAAGCCAGGACCTGTGGATCACACAGGGGAGAGAGAAAACCGGGGCCGCATCAGAAAGCAAAGGCGAATTTGTCTTCCTGTGGATGATTCTGACGATGGGTCAAGTCCATGATAGATCTGGACGCGTGTATCTTCCAAATGCACGAAGCAGTTATCTGTCTTCACAGAAGAAAAAACCAACAGAGACAGGGGAGTCGCTAAAATGCCGAAGAAAGTAAATGTGCATTTGAAAAATTCTCACGGTTGAATCTCTCTACACAAACTCTGGGGGAAGGCAGCTGCTCCAACAGCGTTTTCTTTCTTTTTCTTTTTTTAAAAAGATTTTATTGATTTGACACACACAGAGGGAGAACACAAGCAGGGGGAGTGGGAGAGGGAGAAGCAGGCTCCCCACTGAGCAGGGAGCCCGATGCGGGGCTGGATCCCAGGACACCACCTGAGCGGAAGGCAGACGCTTAAACACTCAGCCACCCAGGTGCAAGTTTAAACTTGAATTTAAATTCAAGTTTCTCAGTTACACGACTCATATTTCAAGTGCTCGCTAGTAACAGCTGACTCGTGGCTTCTGCACTGGACAACATGGATGGGGCACATCTTCATGACTGTAGAAAATTCTATTGGACTGCACTATTCTAGATATAATCTTGGCTCCTGTTTTTGATTATGTGATGGTGACAGAGGCTTTTTTTTTGCTTTTGCTTTTTTCAATTTTCTGACTTTCTTAACTCATCACAAAAAAAAAAATGACATCTACTTCCTAGTTAGATTTTACTTCCACACGTGATGTTTCTGGAATCGGGTCTGACACTAGATCCTCAAAAAAAAAAAAAAATTAGCTGGGATTTCCCTCATGACCCCAGTCCCAACACCATGGCCAAATGCAGCCATAGGGGTGATCATAGCAAAATTGTTTAAAGATCCAATCTGTCTCATCACTCAACTTTTTGCCCCCCAATTAATTGGTAATTCCAACTCTCTCCGAAGTTCTTACTCTCCAAAGTATAAATTCCCAGAAACTCACTGATCGACAAATCTGCCATACTACTGATATGTGGTCAAAGAACACTGTTTTATAATGGAAACTCGGAGCCAAACATATACTCAAGAACAAAGGAATTTTTTTTTGATGGTAAAAATCCAGTTATTTGGATAAGACGTGAATAATATTTTCTGGCAAGAAGCACTGCAATAAAATGGAATGATCTAGAACTCCCAAATTGGTCCCTGGTCACCAGGCACATTTTCTTGCTTGGGCTCAGCTCAGAGTCCTAGAATTGAGTCCTGAGCCCAGTTCCCTGTCCAGCGGGGAGCCTGCTTCTCGCTCTCCCTCTGCGGCTCCCCCTGCTTGTGCTCTCTCTCCCTCAAATACATAAACCTTTCTAAACATAATTTTAAAAAAAGATGATGGTATAGTATCTTACCTGTCTCACTGATTCTAATGATATTTTTGAGCGAAACAGGCATTTCCTTCATCCTTGCTTTGAAATGCTCATCATCTTCAGGGTTCAGATTATGGCCCTTGCCTGGAATCAGAGGACAACATTCTTGTTCTTCTTGTTCTCCTTCTTCTCCTCCTTCTCTAAAAAAAAAAAGCATTTTATAGTAATCTGTGTACCCAACGTGGGGCTTGAACTTACAACCCTGAGATCAAGAGTCACGTGCTCCACCGACGGAGCCAGCCAGGCACTCCCGGAGGATAACATTCTGAGTGGTTATTTCCCAGATGTGAAATGGAAAGCCAGTTCCCAGAGTAAAGTAGTTCTTGGGACATCAATATTTGAGCAGTTCACAGAGGGTGGGAGGCTTTCTAGGCATGGGCCAAGACCCCTTCATGTGGTCCTACTGTACCTGTAGCCAAACTTCAGCTACAAGAGTTCAGACCAAGTGGGAGGACACCATGATTCCCAGATGTGCAAGGTCAGGACGGACACATCGCCTCCCCCTCCCTGCCTCCTGCAAACCAGTCCTGGGGAATTAACATTTGACGCTGCTCTCTGCTGGGAAGGATGTGTTGGCCACTGAGCAGGGACCTTGGCAGTCATATGAAGAAATGTATCATTCATAAATGAAGTCACTGACGGTGATCATTTTTTCTACCTTTTCTAAAATCTGAACCTCACTCTGGGGATCACTAACACAACTTTCTGATACGTCCTGTGGGTGATTTGGACATTTGAAAACCATCCACAATCTTGGATATTATCACCCCAGTTTGGGTTCCCATTGACGTTCTCCAAATGGTGAATCCTACCGTAAGAAACACCAAAGCATATTTCTCAAATGCCCTGCGGGATAATGTGGAGATCTCTTCTACCAAATGTGTGCTTAATTAGGAGGTTTGCATGTTAAAATCTGATCAGAATGCGTGTCCTAGGGCAGCGATTCCAAACCTTGCCCTCGCATTGGCGTCTCCTTTGAAAAATTCCCAAGATCCCGAGAAACTCACTCCCCAGGTTTCCTTAAAAAGTTAAATGGAGAGGCACCCGGCTGCCTTAGTCGGTAGAGCACACAACTCTTGATCTTGGGGATTGTAAGTTCAAGCCCCACATTGAATGTGGACATTACTTTAAAAAAGAAGTCTATGGGGACACGTGGGGGGCTTGGTCGGTTAAGCATCTGCCTTCAGCTCAGGTCATGATCTCAGGGTCCTGGGATCGAGTCCAGCATCAGTACCCTTGCTCAGCAGGGAGTCTGCTTCTCCCTCTCCCTCTGCCTGCTGCTCCCCATGCTTGTGCTCTCTCTAACAAATAAATAAATACAATTTAAAAAAAAAAGAAAGCTATGGAGCACCTGGGTGGTTCAGCTGGTTAAGCACCTGTCTCTTGATTTCAGCTCAGGCCATGATCTTGAGGGTCCTGGGATCCAGACATGTAAAACCCACATTGGGTTTTACCTGGGCATGGAGCGTGCATAAAATTCTCTCTCTCCCCCTCTCCCTTTGCCCCTCCCCATCCCATCTCTCTCTATAAGTTATGGTGGGGGGAAGGAAATCTAAAAAACCGCCCAAAACCCAAGTTAAACAGAATTTCCATGACTCAGCAATTCCACTCTTAGGTACATACCCACGGGAACTGAAAACAGGTCTTCATAGAAAAACTTGTACATGAATATTCATAGTAGGACTATGAAGGTAGAAAGCCAAAAGGTAGAAACAACCCAAAGGTCCATGAGTGAGTAAACACAACGCGCTTATCGATACAATGGAATATTATTCAGCCTGAAAAAGGAATGAAGTATTGCTATGTCCTTCCACATGTATGAACCTTATGCTAAGGGAAAGAAACCAGTCATCAATGTCCAGAAGAAGCAAACCATAGAGATGGAAAGCAGATTAGCGATTACCAGGGGCTGGAGGAGGGACGTATGGGGAGTGTTTCTTTGTGGGGACAACCTCGGGAACCACTGAATTAAGAGGGTTATGTTACTAAATTCTTGACTCCTTTGGGAGACGGCCAAAAGACAAATTCGAATTTGAGATAATCATAAAAATAATCAAGAGTCCATGAATCAGCTGTATTATGTCATTTTCAACAGTTCTGGACTCCCTATTTAAAGTTTGCTTTAAAATTTACATTTAGGGACGCCTGGCTGGCTGTCACTGGAGCTGTGGACTCTTGATCTCTGGGTTGCGAGTTCAAGCCCCACGTTGGGTGTAGATATCACTTAAAAATAAAATGAAAAAAACCCCACAAAATTTACATTTAATAAAATTCATGCTTTTGAGGATACAGCTCTAAGTTTTGACAATGCAGTTTCAAAGCCACTGCCAGACAGAAGGTAGGAGGGACTCTGACGCAGTGGAAACGTTTTCTTGGGCTGCCCCCTTGTGGCCATCTTCAGTCCTCAGTCCTGGCAACCACTCATCTATTCTCTATCTCCCCAGTTTTGCTAGAACGTGTCCTAAACGCAGTACCACAACGCAAAGGCTTTTGAGACAGGGTTTTTTTTCCTCTGGGTAGGAGGCATGTGAGATTTGCCATATGCATGACTGTTTGAAAACTTCATTACTGTTTATTCTGAGTAACGTACTAGAGTTTATACATTTAGCCACTGAAGGACCTTCGGATAGTTTCAAGTTTTTGTGGTCTAAACATCCCCATACTGGGGTGCCTGGGTGGCTCAGGTCATATGATCTCAGGGTTTTGGGATGGAGTCCGCATCCGGCTCTCTGCTCAGCTGGGAGCCTGCTTCTCCCTCTCTCTCTGCCTACTTGTGATCTCTTTCTCTGTCAAATAAATAAATAAAATCTTTTAAAAAAATAAATAAAAAATTAAAAAAAGAAACGGTAAAGAAAGAATTCTAAAATAAGGCAAAACAGAAATCATAAAATATATGGTAGAAACAAATCAAAATGTATCAGTAGTGACACACACATGATATTGTCCAATTAATGTACAATGAAAGTCAGATAGGGAAAAATAAATGTTTCATTTTGTTTACCCGGAAAACGGAAAGCACAAGGTGACAAACATATGTACTTTTTTTTTTTTAAATAAAAGGAAAATTGTAACATGCAAATTTAGGGATCTTTTGCACTGAAGCCAATATGACCATTGAATGCAATCTATTCAAGGCACCGCCCTCCCCGCTCCCCAGCCACACTTACAAGCAAAACTCCCAAGTGTCTGCACTTGACCCTGAACTCTCTGTTTCTGGTGGTCTCGGTGCTCCACATTGTTGGAAAGTAGGCACCAACTCCAAAACATTTTCTTCTCTAGCGAGACCACAACCCACATCCCAGACAGAGCCCCTCGGAACACCGAACACTGGCTACCTCCTGCTGAGTCCGCCAAGACCTTCCGTGGGTGCAGAGGCAAACCTCTCACGTCCTTCAAAACCCTTAAAGGGCCCAGCCTGACAGGAACTCGGCTGATATTTCTCTGGATGTCCGGCCCCTCTCCTCCCTGGGAGAGTGAATGGATTCTGCCCTGTTTGTTGCTCCGCTCTCTGCGCAATCCTTGTCACCCTTGTCACTGGCCAACCTCGTAATGGTACCCTATATTCTTCTATTTTTATTCTATTTTATTTTTAAAGATTTTATTTATTTGGCAGAGAGAGAGAGAGAGAGAGACAGCGAGAAAGGGAACACAAGCAAGGGGAGTGGGAGAGGGAGAAGCAGGTTTCCCGACAAGAAGGGAGCCCTAAGCGGGGTCGATCCCGCGATTCTGGGATCATGACCCAATCGGAAAGCAGACGCCTAACGACTGAGGCACACAGATGCCCCTATTCTTCTATTCTAAAATTTATTTATTTGTTTTTTTAAAAAATATATATATTTATTTATTTATTTATTTGACAGACAGAGATCACAAGTAGGCAGAGAGGCAGGCAGAGAGAGAGGAGAAAGCAGGCTCCCCGCTGAGGAGAGAGCCCGATGCGGGGCTCGATCCCAGGACGCTGCCATCATGACCTGAGCCAAAGGCAGAGGCTTAACCCACTGAGCCACCCAGGCGCCCCACTAAAATTTATTTTTAATTTTTAAAAAGATTGTATTGATTGAGGAGATGGGGCAGGGGAGAGGGAGAAGCAGGCAGAGGGAGAGGGAGAAGCAGGCGCCCCGCTGAGCAGGGAGCCCAACATGGGGCTCGATCCCAGAACCCTGGGATCAGATCATGACCTGAGCCAAATGCAAACACTTAAGCGACTGATACTACCTATATTCTATACATCTTTCAACTACACTTTAAAGATGTCATACACCAAATTGGCCCTTGAGAAAATATGATGATAATCTAAACACCTCTTACAGTAAAATGCGTTATTGACTTGCAGTTTTCATCTGCAAGCAAGACAGGGTGATAATCGACGTAGTATCATTATCCGCACATAAAGAAATCGAGGCCAAAGCTGTTGAGGTTGTGTAGTTCGACAGAAAGGTGAGACGGGTGTGGGGGTGCCTGACTGGCTTAGCTGGCGGAGCCATCACGCCCTTGACGCTTGGATCGCAGGGTTGTGAGTTCAATCCCCCATGCCAGGTACAGAGATTACATAAACATACATTTAAAAAAAAAAAGCAAGTATTAATAAGACAATGAAATCCAGATCCTAGCCAACGCTGAAATTTTATCTCCATTTTACATATAAAAAAAACTTTGCTTGGGGCACCTGGGTGGCTCAGTGGTTTAAGCCGCTGCCTTCTGCTCGGGTCATGATCCCAGGGTCCTGGGATCCAGCCCCACATCGGGCTCTCTGCTCAGCGGGGAGCCTGCTTTGCCTGCCTCTCTGCCTACTTGTGATCTCTGTCTGTCAAATAAATAAATAAAATCTTTAAAAAAATAGAGTTTCCTTGTCATAATTATAGTATTACATGAACAATTCAAAATTATGAATATCACCAGCATAAACATTAATGTAAAAATCATTATTATAGAAACATTTGCCTTTGAGTATCAGTGGGGGGCCTGTCTGGCTCAGCCCCTAGAGCAGGTAACTCTTGATCTCCGGGTTGTGAGTTCGTGCCCCACGTTGGGAGTAGCAATTACTTAAAAATAAAGTCTTGCAAGATAAAATAAAATAGAATCACAGTAACCGCACGTCTCCCTGGGAGAGCATTAGGTTATAAGTAACAGGAGGCAGGATTTCTTCATTTAACAAGGGGAGGTTCATTACTTCTCACCTGATTCAGCCTCCGTCCCTTCCCTTTGGGGTCCTCCTTCTCCAAAGGAACGGAATTTAGAGCAGCCTGGGGATGTCGGAGCCAACAGACCCACCTTCTGCGTTCTGCACCCTGAGGAGACTGAGGTTTAGCTGGTAAGCACTGCAGGAAAAGAGCAGGAGGTGTGGCCTTGGGGGAGGGACAAACCAGAGTGTCTATCAGCCATGGATTGCCTCCCGTTGTCTGCCTACCTCTTTTTTTTTTTTTAATTTCTTTTGAGTGTACCAGAATTCATTCTTTATGCTCACACCCAGTGCTCCATGCAATACGTGCCCTCCATAATACCCACCACCAGGCTCACCCAACTTCCCACTCCCTGCCCCTTCAAAACCCTCAGATTGTTTTTCAGAGTCCATAGTCTCTCATGGTTCATCTCCCCCTCCAATTTCCCTCAACTCCCTTCTCCTCTCCATCTCCCCATGTCCTCCTTGTTATTTCTTATGCTACACAAATAAGTGAAACCATATGATAATTGACTTTCTCTGCTTGACTTATTTCACTCAGCATAATCTCTTCCAGTCCCATCCATGTTGATACAAAAGTTGGATCTTCATCCTTTCTGATGGAGGCATAATACTCCATAGTGTACATAGACCACATCTTCCTTATCCATTCCTCCGTTGAAGGGCATCTTGGTTCTTTCCTCAGTTTGGTGACTGTGGCCATTGCTGCTATGAACATTGGGGTAGAGATGGCCCCTCTTTTCACTACATCTGTATCTTTGGGGTAAATACCCAGTAGTGCAATTGCAGGGTCATAGGGAAGCTCTATTTTTAATTTCTTAAGGAATCTCCACACTGTTTTCCAAAGTGGCTGCACCAACTTGCATTCCTACCAACAGTGTAAGAGGGTTCCCCTTTCTCCACATCCTCTCCAACACATGTTGTTTCCTGTCTTGCTAATTTTGGCCATTCTAACTGGTGTAAGGTGGTATCTCAATGTGGTTTTGATTTGAATCTCCCTGATGGCTAGTGATGAAGAACATTTTCTCATGTGTCTGACAGCCATTTGTATGTCTTCATTGGAGAAGTGTCTGTTTATGTCTTCTGCCCATTTTTTGACATGATTATCTGTTTTGTGTGTGTTGAGTTGAGATCAGGAACACGACAAGGATGCCCACTCTCACCACTCTTGTTCAACATAGTTTTAGAAGTCCTAGCAATAGAAATCAGACAATGAAGAGAAATAAAAGTATCCAAATTGGCAACGAAGAAGTCAAACTCTCTCTCTTTGCAGATGACATGATACTTTATATGGAAAACCCAAAAGACTCCACCCCCAAACTACTAGAACTCATACAGCAACTCAGTAACATGGCAGGATACAAAATCAAGGTACAGAAATCAGTTGCTTTCTTATACGTTAACAATGAAAACACAGAAAGGGAAATTAGAGAATCAATTCCATTTACTATAGCACCAAGAACCATAAGATCCCTGGGAATAAACCTAACCAAAGAGGTAAAGGATCTGTACTTGAGGAACTACAGACCACTCATGAAAGAAATTGCAGAAGACACAAAAAGATGGAAGACCATTCCCTCTTGGATTGGAAGAATAAACATTGTTAAAATGTCTGTACTGCCTAGAGCAATCTATACTTTTAATGCCATTCTGATCAAAATTCCACCGGTATTTTTCAAAGAGCTGGAGCAAACAATCCTAAAACTTGTATGGAATCAGAAGAGACCCCGAATTGCTAAGGAAATGTTGAAAAAGAAAAACAAAACTGGGGGCATCACGTTGCCTGATTTCAAGCTTTACTACAAAGCTGGGATCACCAAGACAGCGTGGTACTGGCATAAAAACAGACACATAGACCAGTGGAACAGAGTAGAGCCCAGATATGGACCCTCAACTCTATGGTCAAATAATCTTCGACAAAGCAGGAAAAAATATACAGTGGAAAAAGACAGTTTCTTCAATAAGTGGTGCTGGGAAAATTGGACAGCTATGTGTAGAAGAATGAAACTCGACCATTCTCTTACACCATACACAAAGATAAACTCGAAATGGATAAAAGACCTCAACGTGAGACAGGAATCCATCAGAATCCTAGAGGAGAACATAGGCAGTAACCTCTTCGATATCAGCCACAGCAACTTCTTTCAAGATATGTCTCCAAAGGCAAAGGAAACAAAAGCGAAAATGAACTTTTGGGACTTCATCAAGATCAAAAGCTTCTGCGCAGCAAAGGAAACAGTCAACAAAACAAAGAGGCAACCCACGGAATGGGAGAAGATACTTGCAAATGACAGTACAGACAAAAGGTTGATATCCAGGATCTATAAAGAACTCCTCAAACTGAACACACACAAAACAGATAATCATGACTGCCTACTTCTAAGCTCGGTTTGAAACCAGCAACACAAGGGAAGTGGGTTTTCGGAAGCCAAGGTCATTGTGGCTAGATCAGAGCCAGCCAGAGCCGACATCCCAGGCAGAAGCAAGCAAAATCAAGCTCAGTTTTGCAGAGTTTATAATAGGCTCACACAAATCTTTCTTTTCAGCAGAGTAGATTACAGGCACGATAGGATACTTTAAATAAAACCAAGGCTGGGCGTGGAGCTCCCTCTGGAAGGCGTCTAGCCCCTCAGCTCTAACCACTCACGGGAAACTGGCCTTAATTTCGAATTAATTCCAGGGGTGGGGGTGGGGGTGTGGTTTTTTGTTCTTTCAATTTTGTTTTGTTTTAAGTAGACTTCCTGTTCACTGTGGGACTTGAGATCACTACGTGAGATTAAGAGTTGAGGGCTCTACTGACTGAGCTAGCCTCGAGCCCTAGTTATTTCCTGTTGATTGCTCTATCAGGTTAATGCAGTGATGGCATCAGGAATGATCTAGCCATTCTTTGGATGATAAACATTTAGCTGGTTAACCAGTTTCTTCCCAACAGCGGGCAATAACACAACCAATAACTTTTTCTGTGCATTTCCGGGTGCACATATCAGATCCTGGGAATGGGATTGCTGATTCAAACCAATTCAATGCTTGAATCTTCTTTTTTTTTTTTTCTAGATGTAGCCAAATTATCCTCCAAAGTGGTTGTGTTTTCTCCAAAATCCGCTCACTACCAGTTTGAGTCTCTATTGCTTTACGTCTTCATTGACCCTTGGTTTTGTCCTATTTTCTTCTTTTCATCGCTATCGTGGGTGAGAATCTTATCTCATGGTGGTTTTTATGGGCCTTTCCATGATCACTAATGAATCAATCTTTTCTGGAGCACCCAGCTGGCTCAGTCAGAGAAACATGTGAGCTGGTCTCGCAGTTGTGAGTTTGAGACCCATGTTGGGTGTAGAGATTACTTAAATAAATAAACTTAAAAAAAATCTTTTTGTGTGGACACTTGTGTTTTTTCTTTTCTTTTCTTTTTTAAAAGATTTTATTTACTTATTTGAGAGGCAGAGAGACAGCGGGCAAGAGAGAGAGCACGTGAGCAGGGAGGAGAGGAAGCAGTGGGGAAGCCAGGAGTGTGTTGGGGGCGGGGAACACTAGCATCTCTCCTATGGGGCCTTTAACAGTGGCGGTGATCACAGTGATTGTGTTCAGGGGATGCCTCGGTCGCTTTGACACTGGGAACTTCTAACATAACCTCTCGGGGGTCACAAAAGGATTTTTTTGGTAATGGACCTTCTCTTCTCCAGTTCCCAAGGGCTCTCCCTTGGGGTGCCTTTTAACCCACTGGAAACCATTCTGACTGCAAAATTTATGAAAGGCCAGAGCTCCTGTAACACTGCATGGCCCCAGCAGGATCTATCGGGACACAGGCAAATGGACCTGGGGTGCCTTCATTGCTTTACACCAGGACCCTGAGCTAAGGGCCTCTCGCAGAATCCCAGGGTCCTTGCTCATTGCCGTGGGTAGGGGGAACTGCTTCTCCCATTCCCCCTGCCTGTGCTCTCCTGCTCTCTCTCTGTCAAATAAATTTTAAAAATCTTAAGAAAAAATGTGTTTGCCTGAATGAGTTCAACCAATAAACTCCCTCCTGACATGCTGGGTGATCGTGAGCCAAGTAGACCTCCTCAGAATAAACCCAGGCCCGCCCGAGCAAAGAGGACGCCGACTCTCTCTCTCATTGTTCCTCTTAATCTCCACACTGGCTTCACCCTTGTTTCCAGCGCAGTGACTCCCACTGGAACCCACTGCCTCTGGTTAGTCTAGCTTAGGGCTTTACGGAACACTCCCAAGCAGCTGCTGAAACTCCCTCTGCTTTGGGCCATTCCCTGTCATCTCTGGCCTGACACGGACTCCTGATTCCACTTTGGAGGAGAAACGAATGTCCACAATTCCGCATCTGCTCCTCTGTCTGGGCTGACAGGTTTTAGGACCGGAAACTTTCTTTTTCTGCCTTCTGGCAGCGCTCTGCGCCTTCTGCCTCCTCCCCACTCCTCTTCCTGTTTCCGTCCGATCATGTGTGCCGCTGGCCTTTAGGACACCGTTCACTTCAAGATTTTCCCACCAGCGTCTCAGGTAAAAATCGACCAAATAGGGGCGCCTGGGTGGCTCAGTAGGTTAAGCCTCTGCCTTCAGCTCGGGTCATGATCTCAGGGTCCTGGGATCGAGCCCTGCATCGGGCTCTCTGCTCAGCAGGGAGCCTGCTTCCCCTTATCTCTCTGCCTGTTGCTCTGCCTACTTGTGATCTCTCTCTCTCTGTCAAATAAATAAAGTCTTTAAAAAATTGTGGGGAATATTTGAAGAGCTTAGAAAAATGTAACTTTGAGGGAAATGTTGTTTAAAAAAATCGACAAAATAAACTGATGGGTTTCTAAAAAAGAATTCAGGTGGAATATAATTTGGTGTTTTAAGTAATGTAAGTGCATTGGTTTAACTAAAATAAACACAGCTTGAAAGTTTTCAACATTAAATGCGAAAGTTTTATTCTACCAAGATTTACCGACGGTCAAATGGGCTCATGGGTTTGTTTTGTTTTTAAAGATTTTATTTATTTATTTGACCCAGAGAGAGCACCAGCAGGGGGAGCAGCAGGCAGAGGGAGAAGCAGGCTCTTTGCCCAGCAGGGAGCCTGATGTGGGATTCAATGCGGGAC